TTAGACGCGCACTAGAGGCGGTTTAGCCAATCGCAACACACTGGGCTAGCTAACCAATCAGAGCCCATTGCCTATTTCTGAGGGCGGGGCTTCAAAAAAACAGGAAAAGATCAGCCCGTTTCTCAGAGAAGGAGCAGAGCGGTGTGGAATAAAGGTAAATTATGTGAAAAATAATGCGTTTTTTAAAAAACGAAGCATTAACACATGTTAGACTGCACCCCATAAACACAATCAAGCCTAGAAAAAAAACAGTGAACCACCCCTTTAAGTAATGTGAGTTAAGACATGGGAGCAGGTAAGTGCAGCAAAAAGTACAAATATTTGTATTTTTTGCTGAGCTACTCATTATTTATGCATTCAGTGGATGCTTTTATCCAAAGTGACTTACAATAGAGGAACATAAGCAATTCATCACAGAGCCAGCAATATTTATAGTGTACAGGTTTATTAGAAAGCTAGACTAGGAAACGAGCTATAGCAGAGGTGAAATGCAAGTAGTAGTAGATTTTTCCAGTAATAAAAAGCTGTTGTCATTGGTTTTGCTTTTCTATTGGCTGTCATAGTTCATATCTCTACCTAATCGTACAAGGCAGGTGAGCAAAAAGATTGTGTAAGCTCAATCAAATAGTATTTTCACGCACAAAAAGTTCCTCTTTTCAAATCTTCTGAAACCATGGTGAGTGACAGCTCAGAGAACAGAGGAAGTGTTCCTTTGAGATCCGTAACTGTTCTTTATTCGAGCTGTGGCAGTTCAGCACGCTGAAAAACTCCTCTGTGGCCAAATGAAGCTCTCATCTGATCTGAGGGGGCAGTGCTGGTCCCGCTTACATTAATAATATCTAATACATCACTGAGAAGGTCTGTTTTGCTGTCAAATCGTCTTTCATTAATCCATTTAATCCCTATAGTCTCATCTGTGATCAAATTTTAGTTTAGAGTTTGAGTCTGAAAGGTGAGAAAAGGGTTGTTGGTGCATTTTACACTACAAATGACTGTCTAGATTACATGGTAATGACCTAAACCATTTATTTCTAGTTAACCCCTCTGAAAACATATATACACACACAACATATATATATATATATATATATACACACGTGTGTGTGTGTGTGTGTGTGTACTGGTTTGGGTGGTTTATGAGGACACAAATTTGTATAATGACATGGGTATGACACAGGTATTACAATATGAAGGTGGTTTTATGAGGACATTACCTGTGTCCCCGTAATTCAAAAGGCTTTAAAAACATACTAAATGGTGTTTTTTTGAAAATCTAAAAATGCACAAAGTTTTCTGTGAGGGGTAGGTTTATGTGTAGGGCGATAGAAAATACAGTTTGTACAGTATAAAAACCATTACGCCTATGGAGAGTCCCCGTAAACCACCAATACCAACAAAATAATATGGTAAAAGCAGTAATATTATTGTGATATTATTATTACAATAATATTATTACAATTTAAAATAACTGGCTTCTATTTGAATATATTTTAAAATATATTTTATTTCTGTGATCAAAGCTGAATTTTCAGCACCATTACTCCAGTTTTCAGTCACATGATCCTTCAGAAATCATTCTAATATGCTGATTTGCTGCTCAAGCAATTGTTATTATGATCAATATTGAAAACAGTTGTGGTGCTTAATTATTTTATTTTTTTTTGGGAAAACATAATATATTTTTCAGGATTCTTTGATAAATAGAACATTCAAAACAACAGCATTTATTTTAAGCTTTTGTATCAATATGAAAGACCTTTACTATCACTTTTGATCAGTTTAATGTGTCCTTGCTGAATAAAAGTATTACTCTTTTTTTTTTAATTGTGTTTCCACTAAAAATATCTAAACATCCCTAAAACAAGATAAATGTACTTGCAAAATGTTGTAATATATTAAGACTTGTTTTCAGAGAATATATTTTAATTTTTTTATTTTCTGAATCCATTGGCAAATGCATAATTAATGCATAAATAACTTGCAAAATACAGAAAAATTGTGAGGCTTATGAAACAAGAAAAAAAACTGTTTGCCATTTGGAAATAATTATTTAAACTCAAATCAATATTTCATATCCATCCATCTATTTATTTATTTAGTAAGTGTTGCCATCTAATAAGCAAGATAGTGTAGAGTCAGCTGGCCATTATGCTGAAATGAACCCCTTCAGGGTGATACAGGACCCCTCGGCTTTGAGTTTATGTTGTAATAATGGCTGACTAACTGTACATTATGTCTTACATATTGACCAAGTCTGCAATTTCAGTCTCCCGTGGGTTGCACATACGTCCAGCAACTTACTGTCAACTTTTTTCTTTTTTTGAGAAGATGCATGCAGTTTGCTTCTATCCAAGTAGAAAAATACATGTGCTCGCTTAGCTGGAAAAATGAGGATATGGTATGCAGAATAGTATAGTATCTAGAATGTATGTGCACTTGTCTCCACAGGTGATAAAAGGGGTGCCTGCGGGGATCCGGGCACACCGGCCCATGCCACCCGAGAGGAGGGCAGCTTTCAGCAGCACGCCAAAGTGCGCTTCACTTGCGCCACGGGTCACACGCTCTACGGCTCGGCAGAACGGATCTGCTTCCCCAACAGCACTTGGTCGGGCCGTCAGCCCACCTGTAAACGTAAGTAACTCCTTTAGACACCATGAATAATGCATGCGCACAGCGAGGAGCGGCGCGAGTACACACCGAGACACTGATATGCATCAAACGAGAAGTCTTTTCTCTCGTCAAACATTTGTGCTGGTGTCACGGCATTAATGCATTCTGTAATTGACGCAAAAGACGACCTTGCACCAGAGGCTTTTGAGGAAATGGCACAAGTGTTTGTTTTTTTTTCTGCTGATTTTGCAGCTCTTTTAGTCTGACGCATTGTCCGTGTCATCTCGAAGGTGACAGGTTATTGCGGTCCAGCGCCATGCTGGGCTATAAAACAGATTTACAGATTGTTAGCGCGCAGGTCCCAGGAGGCGGAAATTTCTCAAGCTTGAATGTTTTTGCTACGCAGCTCTGGTCTAACAGCTTGTCTTGCATTAAATCCCATCATGCCCCCCTGCGATTTTCCAGGCCGAACAAACACCAACATCTCCTGCAGTTTAACCCCACTCAACCCATGCGTGAGCGGAGAAAACTAAAAGAAATCTATTAGCTTCACAAAAATATCCCAGTAAAAACTAGTGCTGTGTTCAAAATATCGATACGACGATGTATCGTCACAGAGATTTGACGATACGAGTATCGATACAGCTGGCCCTGTATCGATACTGTGGCACGTGTGCAGCAGTGGACCACGCTTAATTTGTTTAAAATTTTACAACGTTTAAAATTGAGTAGAAAAGTGCGAGGTTTCTAAAAAAGAATGAATAGAACAGTATCGTATCGTGACTTTGCTGGTGATACACAGCCCTAGTAAAAACATCCCAGGCTCTTCCAAATCAATCCAAATGAATACAGAACAATCAAGTTGTGCTTAATAAAGTACTATCATAGTATTTGTTAATATTTTGAATTAGCTTTAGATTTTTTGTTATATTTAGTTATTTTTGGTAACACTTTAGTTTAAGAACCAATACTCACTATTAACTGGTTGCTTACTAGCATGGATATTACTAGCATATTGGCTGATAATTAGTACTTATGAAGCACATATTAATGCCTTATTCTGCATAACCATTGTAGAACACAACTCAATCCAATACCTAAACTTAACAACTACCTTACTAACTATTAATAAGCAGAAAATTCAGAGTTTATTGAGGCAAAAGCCATAGTTAATATTTAGTTAATAGTGAGAATTGGTCCTCAAACTAAAGTGTGATCCTTATTATTATTATTATTATTATTATTATTTTAGTTAAAGTTTTAGTATTTTTTAAATTTCTTTTAAGCCTTGTTTTTAGTTTTAGTTTTCCGTTTTAGTCATGTTAGTATTTTATAATTTCATTTAAGTTTTTCATCTACTATTTATATTTTATTTTAACCATATTTCACTTAACAGAAAGTATTTTTAATAGTTTTAGTTGTAGCTAACAAGAACAACACTAAACTGAAGCAAATTTTCTGAAAGTTTGTTTTGCCAATTTTTAGAAAAGTATTCATATTCTACTATTATAACTATATTATTGTATTATTGTGCTATTTTGAATTAGCATTTATTTTTATTTTTCAGTTTTCATTTTTAAAAAATGTCTCTAGTTTTGATTTATTTTTACTTGAGTTTTGTCATTTTAGTACATTGACCTTCATCTAATATTGATTTAATTTCCATTTTATTTCAATTAACAACCATATTTTTTAATAGTTTTAGTTAACGATAACAACAACACTTGACCGAAGCAAATTTTCAGGAAGTCAGCTATGACATTTTATGCAAATACACTGGAGAAAAAAAAAATATTCAGAAATCGCCAGTAACTTCCTTTAAAAAAAAATAAATAAATGAAAATAATAATAATAATAATAATAATGATGACAGAAATGGCAAGTAGCACGTTGAATTAAATTAAATTGTTTAAGTAGAAAAACTAAAATGGTATTTTCTTATAAAATGTGCTCCACTAATCTTTGTTTACAACTTAGAAAAATTATGTTTACGGTGTACTTCCTGTAATCACAAACATGTTCATTTTTCAAAGGCTACCGTACTCATAAAGTCCTAGATGAAAGGAATGACCCAGCTGGACATGTGCTTTTCTGCTAATGTGATTCTTTTTCATCCAATAGCTGTTCAATGCGGGAATCCTGGGACTCCGGCTAATGGGTGCATTTTGCGTGTTCACGGCACCACCTTCTCTCACTCCATCGTCTACTCGTGCGTGGATGGATACCGGCTCTCCGGGTCGCCCTCCCGTCAGTGCCTGGCGAATGGTACCTGGTCTGGCAGCGAGCCCAACTGCACCCGTACGTACTCAAGCTGTTCTCGTACATCCTGGAAAAACTCAAACATGCTGGCAGCGTTCAAGCCTTCCTTCATCTGTTTTGTTTTTCCCCCCAACTGAGTTCCTCAATAAATGTTGGCATTCAAACAGGAAAGACTTTCCGTAATAACAAGACACCCATTTGTAATTAGCCCAACCATCTTATCATGCGGTTGTTGTTGCTCAGATGTGGGCCCTGCTCACCTCGTGAGCAATCTCATTAATGGAACGAGATTTATTACTGCCGCAGTCTAAGTAATAGAAGGATGAGATGACAGGCAGAATCAATCTCACGCTGACATATAATGCGAGATTGATTTCGGGGTAGTGGGAGAATAATGAGCAGGGGAGTGCTGCAGGACTGCGGTGAAATTCACATGACATTACTCAACGCTCTGATCAGATGCTCTTTGTTGATGTGACAAGATAAACTGTGGATGTTAAAGGGTAGAAGTCACTTCAGATTGGCACAAATGATGAATATAATTAAACACTCCCCCCATCTGTCATTGATTGGTTGAACAGGAAGTCCCGCCCCAAATGCACTGTGTTTACATGCATTTTAAAACTCACAATAATTTGTCTTTTTAAAATGCCATGTAACCATTGACTTCATACCAGTACTGTTAATGCAAATTCAGGGCAACAGACACTCAATCCGGCACAATTCATCTATACGTTATTTTGAATATCTTATATGGTTGCTAGGGTGTTCTAGGTGGTTTCTAAGTAGTTGCTTACCAGTGCTGAGAAGATTACTAATAAATTGTAGTCCATTACTGATTTCAAGTTATATGACGAAAATTGTAGTTAGTAATATAATCTATTACATTACATATTTTAAGTAATGTAATCTGACTACTTTTAGATTACTTTTAACCTAACTTGATGGTCACGTTGATTTGAATAGAATGATCTTGTACCATATGGATATAAAAAAAGAAAAATATGTATTTATTTATTTGTTTTATTGCTTGTGTGTTTGTTTGTTTGTTTGTTACCAACAATGTGAAGTGCATTAAACATTACATTATATCAGGGTTTAAAAAATAGAATAGAATATACATTTTCAGTTTCCTGAGCAGTTTGTAAAGGAACTACAGGGTGTTTGTAAGTTGATCATGCTATTTAATTCAATCATAAAAATATAAAATAATAATTGATATACATTTTTGAAAGCAGTAGGCTTTAGAATGAAAAATGTAAAAAAAAATAGCAAAGATTAATCATATAAAATCAATAATTTATATTTAATTCACTGCCATTGTGTGAATATGTAATCAGTAATAAAGTAACTGTAATCTGATTATGAGCATTGTAAAATTATATAGATACACTATTGTTCAAAAGTTTGGGATCTATACGATTTTCTTTTATATTTTTACGCTCGCAAAAATGTATTTAATCAAAAATACAGTAAAAACAGTAACATTGTGAAATATTATTACAATTCAAAATAACTGTTTGAATATATATGCAATTTATTCCTTTGATGCAAAGCTGAATTTTCAGCATTATTCTTCAGTGTCACATGATTCTTCAGAAATCATTCTAATATGATTAGATATTTTTGATGTTCAAGAAACATTTCATATTTATATTTCTTGACACATTAAAGCAAATTAATTTTATGTCTTATATATCATTTCTTATTGTTATAAATTTTGAAAACAGTTGTGCTGCTTAATATTTTTGTTAAAATCATGACATTTATTTCAGGATTATTTGATGAATAGAAAGTAAAAAATAAAAATTTAAAAACATTTATTTTAAAATGGAAATCTTTTGTAACATTATAAATGTCTTTACTGTCACTTTTTATCTATTTAATGCATTTTTGGTGAATGAAAATATTAATTTCTTAAAAAAAAAATCTTCCTGACCCCAAATCATGAAGATGAGTTACATTTTGAGGTTTAATACTTTTTATTAATTAATTATTAATAATAGTAAAACATTCTTGCTTTGGCAAACACCTCTGATGAATATAACCTGTAAAATGATTATTTACTACTGAATATTATTGCAATGATAGTATTATTATGAATACAATGAGGTAATGCTGCATATATCATAATGCTTTGACAGTCTTAAGTGTTGTTGAACTGAAGATGTTGTTCTGTACGATGACAAAATGTGACATTTTTCAGCTGTAGCATCTAACCTTAGGCTTGACCATTATGCTCTCAGTGTGACAGGCAGAACTAGCAGAAGCTTCCAGAATAATTGTTTGTTTAGTTTTAGTTCCGGGGGGACAGTCTTGAATCCATAAACAATTGAATGATGTTGTGTGTTTAGACTCTTCATGTACACCCACACAGATAATGGTGTCCCTGATTCAAGACATACATTTCCATAATGCGCTTTCCTCCAAACACTGTCGTTCTTCTGCTCTAATAGTGATTAGCTGTGGGGATCCAGGCGGACCTGCCAGCGGCCTGAGGTTCGGCGAGGACTTCACCATCGGCCAGAACGTGACGTATTCCTGCCAGCCCGGTTATGTGATGGAGAACGGGAGCTTCGTTATCCGCACCTGCACCCACAACGGCACCTGGAGCGGCACCTTACCCACCTGCCAAGGTACAGAGTTTGAAGGCCTTTCTTTTTCTTGAAATTGCGATACTGAGACTTTTTGGTGGTTTGCCGAGGCATTGAGTGCCACAAACAAACAGATGTTGCTCTGTAATTGCCAAGGCTTCTTGGATTGTAAACGGGCCATTGTTTCTGAAGGAAGGCAGCAAAGAATAAGGGTTAACCGCAACATTTTCTGACATGTCAGGAGAGAGAGAGAGAGAGAGAGAGAGAGGAGATTCATGAATATTTGACAACCCTCTCTTTGAGCACTCTCTTGCAGGAACAGTCATTGAGACTTTATCTAAAAAAAACTGTACTATAAATGATCACTATTTCTTTGTTTTTCACAATTTTTAACATTTTTTCACTTTTTTTTCAAGTTTTCAAACTTTTTGAGGTTTTGTAGGTTTATATATAAACTATTTAGTTAGTTAGTTAGTTAGTTAGTTAGTTAATAAATGTTTTATGTCCGATAAAACGATATCATGGACCGCCAATTTTTTTATTTAAATATTTAATACATATTTAAATACATAAATATAGCATAACTGGCCATTGTTAATAAAAACATAAAAATCATTTAAATTATTTAATTATCAAATACAGTATTTATTATTACAACAGCAACGACTAATATTCATTCATTCATTCATATTATAAATGTCCAATAACAAACAATATTTCATTATATACATAATCTTTTTATATTTCATATTTATTATTGCAAAACCAGCAACTAATAGAATTTCTGTCTTTATTTATTTATTTATTTATTCATTCAAAATCATATGGAGATTTGTATTTCTTGCTGTTAAAAATTAGGACAGTCAATGAAATAAAATAGTGCATAGCCCTAAAAAATACATTTCATAATTTTTTTTTTTTTTTTCTCAAATTTTTCACGGACCCGGAACCCCTTCTTGGTGGTCACCTTGGGGTCCCTGGACTCCATTTCATTGGACATTTTTCAGTTTTTTAGGTATTCAGCTATTGTGACACATGTAATGTGAAATATGTAAAATCATTACCAGCTCTTCTCCCCTATTAAATAATGTCGGTGTTCCATTCAATACCTTTGTATATTTCACAGGTCTTTCCATCACTGGAACCGTTCCACAGTATTCAGGATTGATTCAATCTTGGCTTTGCGATCAGCGTTATTTCTGTCTGTGGCATGCAGCGCTCTCCTTTCAACCTTTATTCATTTTTTTTGGAGCCAATATCAGATTTTCTTTGGCAGACCACATGCTGACATCCGTTTACAAATCACTGAGAGGAAACTTTCCTTCCTCCGGCGTTCTCATTAGCGCTAAAACACTATTGACAGTTGTTGCTTGGAATGGTTGATATTTTTTTAAGACCTCACCATCCTCATTATAACAGTCCTTGATGGGTATGAGCATAAATATCTACAATCCATCTCATTTAGACCTGTTTGTCCACACTCAATACTGTCTTGTTAGCTAAAGAAATCTGCATTGTGTACTGTACATGAAAATGGCGGCCATTACAATTCTGAGAACAAACACAGAGAGTAAATTGCTCGGTGAGATCCTGCAGAGAAACATCAATGTAGCGTCCTAATAGACCATGATGCGAAGTCATTAGAAAGCCATTTCTTGGGCCCGGCGTGGATGGATGGTAGCTTGTGAGTGATGTGTGGCCGGAACAGACCCTCAGGCACGCCTCCCGACAGTCGATGGTGAAGTCTGCCGTGAGGTTTTTGTGCCCGAGAGCTCATCTCGCACTCCGTTTCTCCTTCATTGCTCTTCTTTTCAGCATCCGCAGACAGTGCAGCTGAAGACTGTCAGTGTCCAGTGACCTATTTGAGATTAGCATGCCAGTTCTTCACACACATGGGAGTATCAAGGAATTTAAAAAATGTGATTTCCAGGCCTGGAAAAGTCATAGAAATTTCTATAGGGAATATAAATATGCCCAGTTTTGCTCTGCAGGATCTTTGCTTAGATTCACAAGGCCCAGGACAAATTGTTCATGGGTGGGGACCCTTTCCCTCAGGCCTGATACTGAGAAATGTTTTTGGGATCAGGGTTATTATTGTTAACTAAAATTAAAACCATTAAAAACATATGTGTTAGTTGAAATCAAGCTGAAATAAAATCTACAAATATAAATATTAGATGAAAAACTTTTAAAGATAGATAGATAGATAGATAGATAGAAGACATAAAATTACTTTAAAAAACTAAAATTAAAATGAAAACTGAAAGCACAAAAATATTAATAAATACAATAATAGCATATAAATAATACTAAAATAACATTGGATCAAAGCAAGCTAAGGTCATCAAATCAACAGCAGATGTCGATTAATGCAGAAAATTATTTTTAATAGTCTAATTTTTGTATTGTGTTTACTTAAAGGTGCTTACAGTGGAAGTAAATGGTAGGACAAGTGCAAAGACAAGATACACTTACATTCAAGATGCAGTCTATGAAAACAAGTCGTAATATCTTATGCAGTGTTGCTTTTCAATGAAGTTATCTTGTTTTCAAAAATTGCGGATATTTAAACTAGAAAATGAGACAAAAACAGACAGATTTTTTCCACTTGTTTTTAATTTATTTATACTTGAAAACAAGTGGAAAAGACTAATTAAAAACTCATTAAAAATATTATTTTTTGCAATTACCACCACAAGACTTAAAGGGGTCATATGATGCTGCTAAAAAGAACATTATTTTGTGTATTTGGTGTAATGAAATGTGTTTATGCGGTTTAAAGTTAATGTGTGTTCACATTAGACTAGAATGGTAGAATCGATTACTAAACTTATCTACATACGATCTACATACAATCTTGCACCTGTTATCATTATGTAATGTAGATAAAGTGCACAATGTCTGCACAAATGTGTCAAGAAGCAAGCTGACCCCTTGTTTTCATGGAGCTTAACAGATGTGCTAAACCATTGTCTTGAACTGCCAATCATAAAGTTGAGTCCTCATTATGTCTGCATACAATCTTTTGTTGAAAACCAGCTGGAAATGTCTATTCACCCACTAGAAGCTGGCATGATTACTTCCATTGTAAGTGCATTTCTCTAAACATGCGCTTATAGAAAGAAAGAAAGAAAGAAAGTATACATTTTAAGTGATAAAGGATATCATTTACGTAGTAGTTGATATTATGCATCAAATACTGCTGGCTGTTGAAATGAATTTTTAAGCAAGTTCAATTAATCAGTCAATCATTTATTTATAGAGCTCTTAAAAAACTGTAAATGCATACAAAAGTGTTGCACAAGAATATAAACACATTAAATACACAAGCAACAAATATAATAAGATATAGGTAATAAAAAGAACATAATAAATATTTATATATATATATGCATGTATAAAACTACATATCATATGCCTGTGAGTTCAAGTATTTACATTTTGTTAAACCTATAAAATAGAAATTCTAAGTGTATTATATTAGATTGAATTTTATTCTACTGTGGAAGCTTGTTTCCGCTACAGAATTAACAAAATAATAATAATAAATAATAAAGGTAATTACAAATTTTCTCACAATTGTGAGTTTACATATTTCAATTCTGACATTTTTCATCAGAATTTGGAGTTTACATTAGTTTTACAAGATTACGGCGTTTGCGATTTTGACTTTTTATTTTCAATTGTGAGTTTATTTCTCATAAGTTTTGAGTTTGTCTCATAATTTTCTTCTTGAAATAGCAAGTTTATATCTTGCAATTGCGAGTTAACACCTTGCAATTCTATGAAAAAAAGAGTTGCAAGAAGCCGGAATATACTTAAAATTGCAAGAAAAAAAAATTAAATTGTGAGATTTTTTTTTATGCTGTAGCGGAAACGAGCTTCCATATTCTACGGTGGAATAATATTAGTAATACAGTAATATTGTGAACTTCTAATCATGTTAGTAACGTAAAAATTCACTTTAAGTGAGTTTTTTAGGTTCATGTCTTGCGTTCAGTTCTTGTTTGAGGAAAGGAAACATTTGTTCGTTTGTGTGGATGACAGTTGTAGTTGAATATATGTGCATATGCAGGAAGACACCAGACAGAAGCAGACTTGTAAAACAGCACTGGAAGGTTTCTTTCTCCATGAACTGTCATAACATGTAAAAGACAAACAAGCTCAGGTGTCTCATTAAAGACCCAGGCGAGAGGAGACCGGTGAGTCTGGTTCTCAAGCCTCTCAGTTGTTTAAAACCATTGTAGTGTTGATTTTAGTCATTAATGATAATGCCTTAGTGTTTCATATGGGATATTTCAGTCTGTTTCCCTTTGTGTTTCCAGAGGTTTGGTTTTGTAGACTATCTACATGTTAGTAAAGTACATGTTGTACTTTTCTGATGTGTTTACAGAGAAATTTTTCAGAGCGAAACTTCAGTCGATATTCGCTCAGAACAGTAAACAACACAACGGTAAGCAGTTGCTGGGGGGAAAAGGTTAAGGTTAGTTGGAAAAAGATTCAAAGTCTTGTCAAAGCACCTTGGCTGAGAATAAAGGTGGTGTTTTGGAGGAAACGCTTTATACTTGGCAACACTGCTGTTCACCTCGGGGTCAGCCGTGCAGATGAGCAGCAGTGACGCGCGGTTCTGTCATCCACACTGAGGCGCGGACAGCCTTAGGGACCTGCTTGAGCGATGGGCCTTTCTACGTGCAACACATGCTGAGCGACTGCAAATCTCACTCAAACATGATGCAAAACATGGCCTGTAGAGCACACAGCTGCAAGAGACCGCTGCAGTTTAAGCCTTTTAGAGCTGGAGATAAGCTGGCAGCCCTGCCCTACACTCATGCCATTGGTCAAGCCGGAACATGTTGACCTTTCCGGTCGATCAGATAAACAAAATTTATCGTCAGCGTCCAGCAAGACTGCAAATTTACAATCATTTTTCAGCTCTACCTTTTTAATTTTACAAGCTTTTCAGGTTGTATTCTCTTTGCATTTGTATATAGACAACTATTTAAAAGCTTGGCTTCTGACAATTGCAAGTTTTTATATGTTAC